TCCCCCGGGCCTGGCACCTGCTCTGCCCACACGGGAGGCAGGACGCATGGCACAGGTGCAGCGGGAGTATCTACGGTCCCATGTGCAGGACATGTGCACAACGGCACATGCACGCGCACTGACTGTCCCCTGCCCAGGCCCAGCCACAGCCCTGTCCCTGAGCGTGTAGTCCCTGCTCCTGCCATGCCCTCTGTAGGACCCAAGTCCCTGATTCCCACTGGACACCGACGCAGCGCCAGCCCCAGCCCCAGCACGAGGGCCGCTCACCAGGGGTTGGAGAACACGCCATAGACCCTGGTGTCCCTCCACTGGCCGCTGGGGTCGGGCAGCAGGAAGACGTCCTGCAGCCGGTTGAAGTTCTTGTTGCTGGCACTGTCACTGCACACCAGCATGGCCTTCAGGAAGGTGTTCCACTTGGAGACCGACAGCGAGCTCTCGCCACCCTGGTCCCCCTGGGAGGGCAGAGGAGAGGAAGCCCCTCAGCACCCGCCCACCTGCCCCATACCCAGCCTGAGGCACAGGCTCCTACTGCCAGTCATGCCAGCATGGACCTGCCAGGGGACGAGGCAGAGTGTCCCTGAACTCGGGCCAGCTGGCCAGGCTCCACTGCAGGCCTGGCTGAGCCTGGGCACAGGGCCGACACAGGGGCCTGCAGGTGAGGGGCCGTGCCGCCAGAGCAGACAGGCACAGAGACTGTCCGCCCTTGCACACACCCAGCATGGTACAGCACACTCACACAAGCAAAACACATGCTCGGCTTTACACTCACACGTGCAAGGCTCTCTCACACGAGTACTCCCATAACCCCAGACACACTCATCAGGCATGTGCTCCCGGCACCCACACCCTCACTCACACTGTGCGTGCACACTCAGCACCACCCTTTGCACACCCACTCACCCTGCACAGCTGCGCCACGCGGGACACATTGAGAGGGGCCTCGGGATTCTTGTCGGGATTGTCCTCTCGGAAGAAGTAGTAGATCTTGTCATCGTAGGCCTGGTCCTGGTGCACGACAGTGGCCTTGATGAACTGTGGGTCTGCCGGGGACACCACAGCGAGCGTGAGGCCGGGGGCCTGTGCGGGGACCACCCCCAGCCCGCCCACCACCCCCTGTGCAAGCCCAGGGCAAATCAGACCTGGACAAAAACCCAGAAAGTCAGGTCCAACGCCCAAGGGGCCCTGTGCTCTGCACCCCCACCTCACTCCCGGCCTGCCCTCCTACGAAGATGTCATCGGCCCAAGAGCAATGACTTCATGACTGGGGACTGAAGGGAGGTCCCGGGGGCTCCTATGTCACACCTGCCTAATTGGCACAGCCCTAATGAGGAAGCAGGAGTGGGCTGTCCTCCCGGGAGCTCAGCGCAGGGACACGCTGGCTCCTGGGATGCTGCGCTAGAACTGGGGCTTCCTCTGTTCTTTGCTCAGGCTTGGACAGAACTCCTACTTACTCCTGAAGGTCCCAGCGGCCTTCAGGGAGCCCTCCCAGAAAACGGGAGCCCCTCTGCTGCCCAGCCAGCTGGCATGACTCACTCTGCATCACAGTGTCGCTGGTGTACAGCTCGCTCTCGCCCCGGATGCGGCGGAACCGGGGGATCTTCCCGTTGTACTCCTGCTTCCGGATGGTGGAGTACACCTCGTCCCCTGGGACACGGGCAGCGCACATGAGGGCCGGCAGCTCCTGGAAGGCCCTCCTCCAGGCAGGCCACCCCACACCCGGGGCAGCTGCACCCATGTAGTCCTACCTTCAAACAGAACCAGGGAGTTCTCCTCTGGGCTGAAGGGAGCATAGCCTCTCATCTCGCCGAGAGGCACCACAGAGCCATTGACCTGCAGAGACCGAGGGGGTCAGTGGCCACCCACCCCACGACCACTGTCCCTTAGGGCCAAGTTCCAGTCAAGAGCCCCAGCCTCCCGGCGATGCTGCCCAGGGGCAGAACCAGCACCCCACGCCCGCCGCCCACCATGCAAGGCAGAGCCCGAGAGGCGCGGCTCCTCACCAGGTTCCAGCAGCTGGGACGGCGGGCGTTGGTGCCACACACCAGCAGCCCGTCGGCCTGCCTCTGCAGCAGCGTGATGTAGTTGTCGCAGTCCTGCGTGGACGGCAGAGACGGGTCAGCGGGAGGCCCCGCAGGCGCAGCACGGGCGCGGGGTCTTGGGGAAGAAACTCAGGATGGCCGGGCACGGGCGGCAGCCCCCAGGGACAGTCAGCAGTCTCTCCCCAAGAAGGACCCTCCCCTCCCTCAGATGGGGGGCTGGACTGGGCCACATCCCCGCATCAGGCTGGGCTCCCCAGACTCACCCACTTGTCCAAGCAGGGGCCCTTCTGGGAGCCGATGTTCACCTGGGGGAGCATGAGTGCACCCGTCAGCCAGACACCCGGGCTGCTCTGCACACGGCCGCAGGCAAGCCCTGGGGGACGCCCTTGGTCTCCCCCAGACCAGAACTGGGGTGCTGAGGAGTGGGCACCCTCCCAGGGGCCCGCAGACTGCTCGGTCTGGTCCTGGGAGCCAAACCCAGAGCCTCGGAAGGCCGGCGTAGGTTTGGAGCCCCACTTCCCACCCAGGCTCCCCTCGGGGCTCCCGCCTGGTAGGCATGCTGACTCCTGGGTTTGCACACACGGCCCAACTCCCCACTCCACTCCAGACTAGCCCAGGGCGCCTCCCTGGGACCATGTCTGGGGCATGGGGGTGGAGCAGACTGGGAGGAGATGTCAGCTCCCTCAGCTCCCGGAAGGCCTCACCGAGACCGAGGAGAGGTGAGAAGAGACGGGAGGGTGGGCAGGGAGGGGTCAGCTGTGTCCCCGGGCCAGCAGAGGGGCCCAGGCTCACCGTGCGCACAGAGGCGTTCCTGCCCTCGGGGAAGTCGAAGAGGTACACCTTGCCGCGTCCACCCACCCACACGGAGGAGCTGCCTGGCTCGTGGAAAAGCACTGTGTGCGGCTCAGCCTGGCCGAAGTCCACCCGGTCCTGCCCAGGGCGGCCTGAGGAGGAGGCGATGATGTGGCATTGAGGTGGGGCCCCGTGAGAAGCCCCTCAGTTTGTGTGACCTCTGGTAGGGACAGCGGAGGGACGATGGGGAGGACAGGACCCCCCCCCACACACACACACACACATACACTCCTAAAGGGCTAGGCTCAGGCAGGAGGACCAGGGCCCCTCAGTGCTGCTCTGTGAGGCTCTGCTGCCCCGACAGCACAAGCCGCCACTTCCCATTGGGCCTCTCCACAGGAGGGGGGCTGTGAGCACCCCACCTAGAAGCCAGGGCTTAGGATCACTTTGTTCGGAACCCAGCCCCTCCTCCAGGAAGCCCTCTGCAACCTCAGGAGCGTGAGCCAGGGCCCAGTAGGACAGGAATCCTAACGTCCCATGCCCTCCCGTCCCACAGGGGTCAAGAGGGCCCACAGAAGTAGGTCCGCGGCCAGGCCAGAGCCAGCGCCCGCGCTCCTGCCACCGACGCTGAGCTCCACGCAGCCCTCTCTGGCCTGCCTTTACCCCCAGGTGCCAGCTCTCCTGCAGGTGAGCAGCTCGCCCTGCCCAGCACATCCGGGACAGGGACCTTCTCAGCGCCAGCTGTGCCTTTCAGCAGGCCAGGCAAGGTTGCTCAAAAAAGAAACTGGCTGCGGTCACTCCTCCGGGGAGAAGCTGTCTCATCTCCGGTGACTGCGATGAGGTCCTGGCTGCAGTACCAAATCACAGGGTGGGGTAGTCTGTGGCCAAGCCGCCCACGGAGGGCTGCGGCCAGCACCTTCCCGCCTCCGGCCAGCCCGTGGCCTCTCCCAGGAACGCGGGCCGGCCACTGTTTTTTCAGCTGCAGCAAACTCCGGGCAGGCAGCTTGGCAGGGACGCCCAAGGAGGACGCCCCAGCCCAGAGGCCTCTTGCTGCCACCTGAGTCGTTCATACCCACTGTGTGAGGCGTGGCTGGGTCCACACTCCATACCCTTTCCTAAAACACCCCCAGAGGTGGGACTTCATCATAAAGAGGAGGAAATAGGCCCCCGAGGGGTGCGTCTCGCCCAAGGTCAGGCAGGACAGACAGGCTCATCCAGACAGGGTGTTCAGGCGATGCCTGCATAGCTGGCCACGGGGGATGCTGAGCTCAGCCTGGCTCTCTGCGGGCGCTCGGCAATCGGTGTGATGAGCAGCCCACGGGATGTGGCCCTCCTTCAATCCCAGGGCTCCCTCCCTGCCGCCCCAGATGTCCAGGGGCTGTGGTTCTGTGGGGGACAGGGTGCTGGCCGAGGCCCAGCAGGGCTGACAGGTCTCTGCCCGCCCCCCTCCAGCTGGGGTAAAATTAGAGTTCTCCTGACTCAGCTCCTGGCTCCCCTTTCACCCGCAGTCTGAGTGCAGCCACCACCATCCCCACGGCCCGGCGGGATCCAGACAGTCTGCAGCCCCAGCTTCCCTCCCACCCACATGGCCAGCAGGCAGCCGGGGAGAGGGGTAGGCCCTGTCTGCAGATACCCGCTGGGCTGAGACCCACGGCCCCTCAGCCCTCGGGGAGCACAGGCTACCTCCGGCCACCGCAGCCTGCCCCTGATCAAGGCCACTGCCCAGGGCTCCACCGA